TTTATGTTATTTTGTGAAATGTTTTTACATATAGATGGCTCTGCCTTACATGATATCATCATTCCTTTAATTGGCAGGAAAATATATTTTTTTACTAGTGCTATGAATATCGATGGTGTTATTTTTATTATAAACATTATAATTACTATAATATTTTCAAAAATTAAAGAAAAGGGTGAACGGGCAAGACAGGCAGAACTCGTAATTGGCTCATTGGTGACTTAGTACAAGTGTAGCCATCTATGGGTAAAAACAATCAAATAAGTAAACTCACAGTGGGCATTTCATGGCATGCCAGTCGGCAATGGGTTAATGATACTGAAATATCTGTGCTTTAGTTTTTCATTATTGTCAGCTAAATCTGTATCGACAAGCTTTGCTCAGTTAATACTTAAATTCATTGCTCATATTCATTCCAAAGAAAGTAATAGTTTTCTTAGGTATTGCTGACAAAGAATTATTGTTGATTAAACATTATTTAGGTATTGAATACTTCTGTATTATATATGACTGAAATTAGTACTCTCCTCTGCAACCAGAAATATTCAAGCAAGCAAATATTTTGTGATTACCTTATTTTTGCTTTCAGTGTTTGCCTTGCATTATTTATGTATTTCATATGTTTCAGGCAAGCCATACTGGCACCAGTCCATGTTCTGGTCTGACCTGGGACCCGATGTTGGCTATGAGGCTATTGGTATTGTGGACTCCTCCCTACCAACAGTAGGTGTGTTTGCTAAGGCCACTGAGAAGGACACACCAAAGGCAGTGGTTGAAGCTACTGGAGAAGGCATGCGGTCAGAAACTGAAAGTGTAAGAGTTTCCCTTCTTTGTACAGCTGTTTTCAGGGATGAAGCTGTTATCTGCTAACACATTTTTATACCTTGATATGGTAGCGGGTGCTAGCATAGAAGAAACTAATATTTTTATTTTAGTAACTGTTTCCTTTATAACCAGGGATTGTATATTTTTACTACAATTACATGTAAACAATATCATAATTGTTTATGTTGCTGTCAAGAAAGGTTATAGTTTTGAAAGCACTCAGTTTCGCGTATTCTTTTTAAACTTGCAAATTTTGTTCTTTTTAGGCTGCAGAAAGTGGCACCATAGCACATTCCAGCGAGCCCCATGCCCCAGTGTCTGGTGAAGATTATGGCAAAGGAGTTGTTTTTTATCTGCGAGACAACATTGTCGTAGGCATTGTATTATGGAATGTATTCAACCGTATGCCAATTGCAAGGAAGGTAAGGGTTCTTTTGCCATTTTGTGTATTTTGTGTAATGCCAATATTTGTCCAGGCACTTAGCTAAGAGGAAGCTTTTAGCTTTTTCTTAAGGCCGTATCATACTAGCAAATTTTGCAGTTCCATGTGAACTTCTCATATGCAGCAAGTGTAGTGCCCATGTAAACAAACATGGTGCCATCCAAGTGAGCTCCCAGAAATCACTTTAAAAAAATATATATATTGTATATAGATATGTTCTTGAACCTTAAATAAGGTTTACATAAGGTTATAAACTGCCTTTACATTTATTTCTTATTAATTAGTCAAATGCTTCAAAGCTTCAGATTCTCGCAGAAACACAAAAATTGACGGAAAAAATGCATATGATAGGGACTTAGATATTTGTGTGTGTGTGTGTGTGTCTGTCTGTCTGTGTGTCACTAGTATTGTTTATCTGTATGTATCTGATGTTTCTAGCTTTCTTCTCTTTTGGTTAATATTTATCTTTCTTTTCCAGATCATTAAGGATGGCAAGAGTTACGATGATCTCAGCGAAGTGGCAAAGCTCTTCAGTTTGCATTCAGAATAGGGATGACAGTAGCTTCTCAGATTGTTACTATTTTTGACATGGGTTCCTAGGAGTCAGTACTTTTTTTACAGATGAACGTAAATACCAAACATTTAGAAATGAAGATTGTTACGTGTATATAGAATGATACTGTGAAGTCAGCTACTGAACTATGGCTTGTGTGCTCAACAAAACTAGATTACAAAACATTGCCATCCAAGCGACTGTAAATGCTTGTGAATTTCAAGATCACTATTAACTTTACAGAAACCTTGCACATCTTACTTTTGAATATAGTTTGGTATTTTCGCACAATTCAAGCTTACAGTCTGAAAGACTTCCGTTGGTATCACATTATGGTTGCAGAACTAATGGTATGGGGAGCTTCTTGCTATTTCATGATTGTAAACTATTGATTGATTCTTACACATGTGCCAGAGCTGCAAGTGCAAAAGTTAAGCAGTAGTTTAAGTTATATGGAGTTAAACAGCAAAAACTGAATATTTCCAAGGTGCCATAGCTGCAGACACCATAGAGGCAGAGAGCTGGTTTTCAAAGAAATGTTAATTTATGTAGGAAGTGTTTAAAATATGTTGCTGATAGAATGAGCAAAATGGCAGTGCTTTTCAATTTTGTAATTTAGGAAAATAACATGAAGTCGACAATTAAAGAATATATGAAAGGATGCTTTTGTTGATTTTAGTGTTGTGGTTAGTGATTTTTTTTTCCATTATTATTACTATTGTAGTTATCATTATTATTATTATTATTATTATTATTATTATCATTAATAACATTATTATTGCTCAAAGCAGATTTAGTAGAAGGGAAGGTTAGTTGCTTTGTCAATTATACCTAGAAACAAGGTATTTTTGCAAACTGTACAAAAGTAAAAGTCATCACAATTCTTATGATTTATGTAAAAGGAACTGGACAGAAGGTATTGCTACAGTGCATTAGTCTTCATCATTCCTAAATGAACCATAGCCATTACCCATATACCAGAGGATACCATCTACAGGCTTGATTTCATCTTCATCTTTATCCCCCCCACCCTTTTTTTTAGGGATGTAGTTGAACGCTGAAAAGCAATTCCATGTTGACACGATGGAAAAGGAACCCATAGTACATCCATACTGGTTTACTTAGAGAAGTTAACAGTTTGGAAATCAGGGACTTCTGTGCTTATGAATGGTTCTTGATTGACTTCTTACGGGTTCTGCCGACATTGTGAGCACTAATGATTAACGCCCAAAGCATATTTTATGCCATAAGGTTAAATACTGGAGTCTTAATAAAAAAAAACAAAAAAACGTGAAGTCATGGAAAAAGTTAATGAATCAACAATGTTCTGTTAACATGTTTGTCTCGCATCTAATGTTAGAGAATCCTGTGATTACCTAACACCCCATCCTGCTTGCAAAGAAGGTGAGGGAGGTGTTGCATGTTACTTTTTTGTCTATCATTTTTCATCTTTACACCAAGTCTTCCTCACAAAGATTTTATTTGCCAAAATTAACTTGTTGAAGCATTTGCCAGTGCTCATTTGTGCATAAAACAAAATCCATCACATGTGAGTTGTGTGTAAATAAGATATTCTACTGAACACAAAAAGCGGCACATTGTACATAGTGTAAGTGGCATAAAATAAATGTTAGATTCTTAGTACAAAGTATTTTACTAAGCTGGAGTGTCATTTATACCTATCTTTGAATATCCATAACAGTTTATGATCATATTTAGAAGGAAGAGAAGTACCTGTTAAAACGAAGGTGAAATAAGTGTCTGTATTTGGATTTTTTCTTTAACTCTTTTTGCTGTAAGTGATTTGGAAGCAAGTATTGAAATAGACAACAATATCAACAAAATATAGATTACTACTAGTGTTTTAACCCAATGCCAACGGGTTGGAAAATAGCTCTGCAGCCATTGTTCTGGGGAACAAAAATAAAAAGGCTGGTTCTCTCACCGAGACGCCCGCTACCTGTCTCACCTCCGTTTTTTCACTCTAGGAACATGTGAAAGTTTGCAGACTTACTCCCCCCCCAATCCCTTGCCCGTTGTTGTCGTGGGGGGGCTTAGGAGGCGGAGACTGGGACCCAATGATGGGGAACTCCCCAACCTTGGGACTCAGCCCTCGACTCAACTAATTATGCATGGTCTTTTTTTTCCCTTCCCACTTTTGTTTCTGTCCCTTCACCAAACCCTTCTGCTATCCACCTCCTAAGGTGTGAGAGCCGTGCTGAAAGGATGAAAGGCTGACTTTGTGCCAGTCCTGAACGGCCTGAGGGAGCCATGGGCACGGTATTCCCCTGATTTAGTTATCTAGCCCTTACCCCTCAAGGGGACCCTGAGGGGTGGACTGTTTTTATCCCCAACATAATCCAGGCTTCCCATGGCCAGTAATGAAAATCTATCTCCACTATTAGGGGCAATGAGGCTTGCCCCTTTAACCTGGAACAGTTACCGCTACAAGAGAGGTACTCCAAATCAACTATCAGCCCTTATCTCCTTTAAAAGAGCATCTGCCTGTCTTCGTCGTACAATCCGGAATAGTAAAACAAATAGCTGGCGAAATTATGTTTCATCAATTACATCCTCTACATCTATCTCAAATGTATGGCGACGAATCCATAAACTATCAGGCAAACATCCCCCCCATCCTGCCCCCGTCCTCCATATTCGAGATACCCTCATTTCTGATCCTCTCCAAGTCGCTAATGAACTGGGTGATTATTTCAGCCAGGTCAGTAGTGGCTCTCACCTTTCTCCACACTTCTCTTCTATCAAGACCACCAGAGAACGTACCCCCATTACCTTCACCCCATCCTCCGCTGAGTCCTATAATGCCCCATTTTCTTCCTCTGAACTCATTACTGCCCTACAATCGTGCCGCAACACTCATGAAGGCCCTGACGGTATTCACTACCGTATGCTCCGGCAACTCCCATCTTCCTCCTTATCCTTCCTATTAAAAATTTACAACCACATATGGACATCAGGAAATTTTCCTTCTAATTGGCGAGAAGCTCTTATCCTTCCCTTCCTGAAACCCAATAAATCGGGTACCCTCCCTCAAGACTATCGCCCCATCGCACTAACTAGCTGCTTGTGCAAACTATTAGAGCGAATGGTGAACTTCCGCTTAATGTGGTATCTTGAATCTCACAATCTTCTCTCTCCTTCCCAATTCGGTTTTCGCCGTGCCAGAAGCACAGCTGACCCCCTTGCTCATTTTGAGACATATATTACATCCGCATTTGCACGCCATGAATCCGTACTAGCTATATTTTTTGATCTAGAAAAAGCATATGATACGACATGGCGGTACCATATTCTCCAACAATTGTCCTCTCTAGGCATACGTGGAAACATGGGTGTCTTCATAAAGTCTTTCCTCTCCCAACGCACTTTTCAGGTCAAAATTGCTTCTGCCACATCATCTTTCTTTCCTCAAATCGAAGGTGTCCCACAAGGCAGTGTGCTCAGTACCACTTTATTCCTTCTAGCTGTTAATGATATTGTCTCAGTTTTACCACCAGGAGCCCGGTCATCACTATATGTTGATGATTTAACCATCTATGCATCTGGCACATCCATACCAAATCTCTACCAATTTCTTCAATCTGCAATCTCATCAGTATCTTCCTGGGCCACAAACCATGGCTTCCGCTTTTCTATCTCTAAATCTTTCTCCATCCTTTTCTCTCGCTCACGTGTAAATCCCCTACCCCCACTCTTCCTATATGGCACTCCACTCCAATGCCGTTCCTCTGGCAAATTCCTAGGCGTCATTTTTGATTCCAAACTGACCTGGCGAGACCATATTCTACACATTAAAGAAAAAGCTCTCCGCCGCCTTCGAATTTTAAAAACTCTATCCCATATATCATGGGGCTCAGATCGCAAAACTCTCCTTCATCTTCATGTTACTTTGATCCTCTCCACTCTTGATTATGGATGCCATATCTACTCCTCTGCCTCAACTTCTCTCCTTGCCCATCTTGACACAATCCATCACTGTGGTCTTCGCTTAGCACTAGGCGCCTTCCGCTCCTCTCCAGTTGAGAGCCTGTATACTGAATCAGGCATACCATCTCTATCTAGACGTCGTGCCCTGCTCTCACTCCGATGTTATGTTCGTTTCCACCAACTTCCCCTCACTAAACTAACTATCCCACAATCCCTACTTCCTACCTTAGCTTCATCTCCACGCTTACCTACTCCTTTCTCCACTCGCATGGATACCCTCCTCTCCCATTCCCCTTTCCCCCATCTCCAACCTCTCCCGTTCTCTGTCCATTCCGTCCCTCCATGGCTTATACCTCACCCCCATATTTGCTCTTCTGTTTTCCCCGACCCACCAAAATCAAATATTCCTCCTACTGTCCTTCTCATCCATTTCCTTGACCATGTCTCCACCCATTCCTCTAGTATACACGTATATACTGATGGCTCCAAATCCACCTCTGGTGCTGGTTTTGCAGTAATATTCCCAACTCGTACTTTCAAATACTCCCTTCCTCCTGAATCCAGTGTCCTTACTACTGAACTGTATGCACTCCTTTTTGCCCTAAAACACATATACTCACTCTCCTCTTCCTCTTTTACAATTTTTACTGACTCCCGTAGCTCATTAACTCTCATAAAGTCAATACACAGCACCAACCCCCTTGTTTGTAAGATCCAGAACTGGTTGTTCTACCTGTCCACACGCCACAAAACAATCAAATTTTGCTGGGTGCCCAGCCATGTTGGAATCCCCGGCAATGAACAGGCAGATACACTAGCACGCCACGCTGCTATGTCCACATCATACCAACCACGCTTCTCACGTATCCCAGCCACGGATTATTACCCACACTTTAAGACCTTCTTGTATAAACGATGGCAATCTTTCTGGTCAAGCCTCCACACTAATAAATTACATTCTGTAAAACTATCAATCTCCTCCTGGTCAGCTCCATTTCATCGGAACAGACGTTGGGAGACGGCTCTCGCCCGTTTACGCATTGGCCACACCCGTCTAACACACTCCTATCTGATGTCACAATCTGATCCACCCCTATGTTCCTTATGTAATGTTCCCCTTTCAATCGTACACATCCTATTGTCGTGCCCACGTTTTGAAGCAGCCCGTACCTCTGCTTTCCCCCACCTATCCTCCCTTCACCGACCTCCCAACCTATCAGACATCCTTACAGAATCCCACACTTTCTGCATCAACAACCTGTTCTCTTTCCTCAAACGCATACATATCCTTTATCTAATCTAACACCCGACCTTAACCCTTTAACTCACCAATTCCTTTGCCCAGCTTAGACAACTAACCACTAACTCAACCACCTTTCACTAACATTAACTATAGTGCTACATGACCTTAGATGTCTAGCACATTTATCTTGCTTTTAACCATTAACCATTGCAGACTTACTGTAGCCATATATGTCAAATGAAGGATTTTTTCCCATATTGTAGTACTCCTTGCCCATCTTGATACAATCCATCACTGGTCTTCCTTAGCCCTAGGCACCTTCTGCTCCTCTCCAGTTGAGAGCCTGTACACTGAGTCAGGCATACCATCTCTCTCTCCAGTTGAGAGCCTGTACACTGAGTCAGGCATACCATCTCTCTCTCCAGTTGAGAGCCTGTACACTGAGTCAGGCATACCATCTCTCTCTCGACGCCGTGACCTTCTCTCTCTCCAATGTTATGCTCGATTCCACCAACTTCCCCTCACTAAACTAACTATCCCAAAATCCCTACTTCCTACCTTTGCTTCTTCACGTTTACCTACTTTCTCCACTCGCATGGATACCCTCCTCTCCCATTCCCCTTTTCCCCATCTCCGACCTCTCCCGTTCTCTGTCCATTCTGTCCCTCTATGGCTTATACCTTACCCCCATATTTGCTCTTCTGTTTTCCCTGACCCACCAAATATTCCTCCTGCTGTCCTTCTCACCCATTTCCTTGACTATGTCTCCACTCATTGCTCCGGTATTCACGTATATGCTGTTGGCTCCAAATCCACCTCCGGTGCTGGTTTTGCAGTAATCTTCCCAACTCGTACTTTCAAATACCCCTCCCTCCTGAATCCAGTGTCCTTTCTACAGAACTGTATGCACTCCTATTTGCCTCAAAACACATACTCACTCCCCTCTTCCTTTTACAATTTCTACTGACTCCCGTAACTCATCTCATAAAGTCAATACACACCACCAACCCCCTTGTTTTTAAGATCCAGAACTGGTTGTTCTACCTGTCCACACGCCATAAAACAATCAAATTTTGCTGGGTAACCAGCCATGTTGGAATCCCCGGCAATGAACAGGCATATACTCTAGCACGCTACGCCGCTTTGTCCACTTCATACCGACCACGTTTCTCACGTATCCCAGCCACGGATTATTACCCCCACTTTAAGAACTTGTATAATCGATGGCAATCTTTTTGGTCAATACTCTGCACTAATAAATTACATACTGTACAAATATCGATCTCCTGGTCAGCTCCATTTCATCGGAACAGACGTTGAGAGATGTCTCTCGCCCGCTTACGCATTGGCCACACCTGTCTAACACACTCCTATCTGATGTCACTATCCGATCCAGCCCTTTGTTCCTTATGTAATATTCCTCTTTCAGTCCCACACATTCTATTGTCATGCCCACGTTTTGAAGCAGC